CCCCGACCTAGATAAATTGCTCCGTTTCATCTTAAGTGGGGCCAGGGAACCAGACCACAGGAACATGATTGTTTTTTCTTGGTTTTTCCAGCATCCACGAACACAAAACTTCAAACATGTTGGTGTGACAATATTTGCTATAAAATACCAATCCCCCAAATCCATCCATTTCTGAAAATTACAGCAAAAGCAAATGTTGTACATTCCCTTTAAGAGACATGCTATTCAAATGTCTCCCTATTAAATCTACCTTGTCTCCAACTTTACAACTTTTTAGCAAAACATGTCAAATGGGTCATTTGCAAAAATTCCTTTTTTTTTATCACTTTCAATTCAGAACATTTCTAACGGTTTATTTCCTGAAACTACATGTAGTACACACTATGAAACGACACCACTATGCACTGAAGTTCCTGCCTACATGTATTGTGGTCAAAATCTAGACGTTACTATTATTTAGCATATTCGTTCACATCCTAAGGAAGTAGGTTAACTTATTTCATAAGCTACTTCCACGTTTATTTAAGGGCAGGAGGCGTCAATGAGTGCTTGGCTTGGGTGATAGGGAAGTGATGTCATCACCACACTGCTTTTGTTTTTCTGTGAAGGAGTTCATTGCCTCTGGAATTCCAGCTACATGTACCGACAAGTGTACATTTACATGTTTCAGGAACTAAGTCAGTTACTGTCATTTCAGCCTAAACCCCAAAAAGATTTCATTGAAATTGACAGCATCAATTACACATGTAGTCTTGGTAACTAAATTTGAACATGGGTCATTCTGCAAATAGGGTCCACCTCCAAAGTGTTGACATTTTTCCTGTCCCCATTAACTTGCTAGTCTGAGTATCACCCATTATCCACAGAGCCATCTCCTGTCTAACGTCTGATATGTCAAAGCATGCAGATTTATGCAAGCTGCGCGCCAGCCAATCGGAGTCCACTTTACTAAATCGTGACGTCACTTCATCCCAAAATCAGGACTAACGCTGTGATTGGTCAATTTGAATGCAGCGTTTTGTAATACAACAACAGCCGGGCGCGCATTCGTGTAACATGATACCGAGCGCCGCGCGCCGTGATTGGTCAATTTTAATGCAGCGTTTTGTAATACAACAACAGCCGGGAGCGCATTTGTACCGAGCGCCGCGCGCCCATGTCTATGACGCGCAACAGGTGAATGACCAAAGACCCGATAGACCTATAGAAAGCGCCTGCTGATTGGTCAAAATCTAGGAAGTCAAGAGGCGGGGTCTTGCCTAACTAATCAGCAAATTTGTTCGCGCATAATAGACCACGTCTATTACATAGACTATTAACTTGCTACATGTACTTTGCAATTTGCCATTCAAGTAAGAATGACGAAAAGGTAGCGTCCATCATTTGTAATTTGTGAATTTTGTTCGTTTGGAGCAACAAAAGTGCTAAAAATCTAAAGAAGGGTGCTGAACAACCAACCTGATGAAGTTTCAGCTCAGCTTTGGCTCTATTTGTCGAGAAACACAGCATTCTAGGATCTCGATTTCAATTCAAAAGTTGCTGAATCATGTTTTGAATTGGGCCTGAATTCATCGTCAGAAACACGTTCTTACTGAGCCGAATGTAGCTACGCGATGTCGCGCACTGATCCGACGAATTATAGAGGGGGCATGTGTGTCGTGTCAACGCTTGTGCCCTTCGCCTATAAAAAAAACGAATTACGCACCGTTGGAAAGGCCTTCTTTCGTTGATTTCTTCAAAATGACAGCTTGCCAGAAAGAATAATTTCACAGGGAGTTTAGTCCCCTTACTATCTTTCAACCAAGTATGTTTTTCAACAATAATTACGTCAGTTACTTTTTGGATAGCTGCAAATGATCGACTGTAGCTTTAGGACACCCCCCCCCCCCCCCCCCCAAAAAGGCTCCGGTTTTTGGTATGGAGCTTGCCCAAAAAGTGGTGCGGCGACGCGGCTTTTTTTTTTTTTTATCTGATTGTTTTGCTTCAAATGTCGGCTGATGACTGCAAATGGTGCCCGACTAAACTTATAACTTAGTGCAAATATATGGGAGTCCAGAGAGGCCACATAAAGCTTATTCTCGACCATAACCCAATCTAAAAACACGTTAAAATTGTGTAGCAGCAGGATTCCAGTCAAACCAGTGAGTTTGGCGGTTTTGAGACATCATCTTTCATTGAAAAAAAAAACTTTTTCATTTTGCCGACGCGCATGGCTACGGCGACGCGCGCGCATACCAGAAACCGGAGACTTTTAGGGGGGGGGGGGGCCTTAACAAAGGATTTTTTTTTTATTTGTTGGGTATGTTCAGTACTAGTCATACCCGCTGTCGGACGACGAGTGCATAATTAAGGAGTGCATCAGAATTATGAAATCATAGATGTCAGATGTAACACGGGCATGGGAAAGAGTGGACCCCAAAAATACACATCCATTGAAAACCTTAGGAACATTTACATGAAACGGAATTCCATTGTGTTGCAGTATAATTACTGTATACATGTACATGTACATTGTACTCGAATGACAAAGTGCAGTGCATTTAAAATGAGCCCGGACACCCATTACTCAAGCTATGCATAACAAGAATTAAAGAGCAAAGTTTCATCTGTAGATTGCTGTTTAATTCTTTGAATTAGGGTACATGCCCATTTAGGCCTACTACATGTATTTCACTATTTGGCTGTGCGAAACATGGCCTGCTTGTGATGACCCACGTGCTGCGAAGTATGGTAGTTCGTACACCATTGTTGCACACACACGTGCAGCTGTAGGGAGTGGCCGTTGCCAATACACACTGTACGTCCACCCACGCTACAGCACCCTTGACATTTGAACCCCTGGGCACACATTCCAGTGTGCCAGACGCTTTTCTATTCACAACTCCAGTGACTGAAGGTTGTCTGGGGACAGTGTGGATTCAATCGTAGTGGTTCACTGCAGTTATTTTTTTATTTCAAAAGAACCCCAAATGTTGTAACTGCCCCTGATTTCATTGTGTCAGTACTGCCAGTGTTAAGTGATGCTGGAAAGGACAGAAATCATGTGTCTTTTAGAAAAAGGTGCTACAATTTACAAACACGTTGTTTTAGCACCAGATTTTTCCTTCAAAATTCTGGGGTTAGTTCCTGACAACCGAGGAACTACTGGTACAGTTGTGTTTCTCTGATAAATGTGCTACATGTATGAGATCATTATTATTCCATGAAGCTATGATTATTCTCTGTACATGATTTTCCACTGACCTAACTGTCTTGCTGGCATTGTGCAGGTTTAAATACATACCTGACCTACAACTTACAAGCCCAGGTGGTGCTATTGATATACCTGCTAAAGTTGGCAAACAGGTCATTGTGCCACTATTTATAAATCACTTGACTGGTTGACTCCGTCAATAGATAACAATGTGGAAGTGTGCCTTCAATGTGTACTCAAGCCCACACAATAAACCATGAATGAACTCACATGAAACACCTTGACCATTATCTCTGGTGATAATCTTCAAACATGTAGTATCAACCCTGGTTATTGGCTTATCACATTAAAAGCAACATCCTAATGAAGGACCACCTTGTCCAGGTTGCATTCACTCTGAATCTAACAAGTTAAGGAGATCAGTGGCGATTGTACATAAAACTTTAATGGGATCTGTTCTCCAGATAATCTTAAATGGATCATTTAATTTTCAAATACCTCTGATGTTTACATTTCTAAATGAAAACATCCAAAATCTTATTAAAAATTTGTTAAAAGGGAACCCACATTAACCCTAACCACCCCAACTCCATCAAAATCCATCCTCCCATTTTGGTGGATTTTGGGGGACTTGGTCCAGGAGGCCGGGCGTGACTAAATATTGATGGAGTATGATGGACTTAGGCCTAATGGCCTGAAGCAGTGCTAAGGGTATCCGAATGATTTTGCCTAGCTTCCTGTACTGCTATAGTGATAAAAGCCATGTGTAGCAAGTCCATGAATGTCAACCAGTGCGTCAGTGGTGGATTCCATTATGTCATGCACAGTTTTGTATTGGAAGCACAGTGATTGATGGATTTTGATGGACTAGGTCCTGTTCCTAGTAAAGACGCTAGGGAGTTAGGTTTAACCAAAAACACTATAATTGTAGGCTTTACTTCACACAAGAGCCATGATACTAAGATACATTTTTCCGTAATTTAACCTTTAAATTATTAAGCAGTATTTTTCAACATGAATAACAAGTCTGGTGGCTTCAACTGCCATCGTGCTTCATGCATAAGGAGCCGCCAAGCTTAAATATTCTAGCTGCACACCAAGTCTATAATTCTTGCTCTGTATTTACAACTGCAACTACATGTATCACAAACTAACTGAGCGAGTCTTGTTGACCATAAATAATAATAAATATACATGTACATGTAAAAACATCTAATATCACATTAATTTCTGTATGTTAAGGTTCCTATGTCGCATGGAAATTTTAGTGTCAATACCATAAACATGTAGGATTTGTAATTCCATTTGAAGTGACCCAGTTCCCAGACGCAAGATGGATGGAAATTTGTTTGCGTATCAAATCTCTGACCACTTGCCGATGTCAGAAATATATACTTTTTCTGACCATTTATCCTTGAAAAGTCATTAAGATCCGTTCAATTGTAATTGAATATTTTTAATTCCCATTGGTGCAGTTTTAGTGTACACTGTAAGCCCTACCCCTGCTGAATCCAACAGGATCCAACTACATGTATATCATATACTCGGTGGAGCCTGTTGGATTGAGCAGTAAACCCCTTGTGTACATTCCTGATGCAAAATGTTGGATTCAGCAGGCAACTGAACCGCATTATAACGCCAAGTTGGACTCCGTTGGATTCAGCAGACAACTGAAAATAAGGCACAGTGGATTGAGCAGGAAACTCTGGTTGGACTCTGTTGGAATTAGCAGGGTAGTCCTGAGGAACTACTAGGGGGTTAGCGTTAAATTAAGTTTGATTACATGAATTTCTCCTTGACCCGTTAGGTACCGGAGGCTGGAGAAAGATCTAGACGCGGCCAACAAACGCATCCAGGCTCTGGAGACCTCCCTTGGGGAGAGAGATGGCCGCATCAGCGCTATGATGTATGAGAAGAAGCAACTGGATGATCTGATCAATGAACTCAGGAAGAACCTGGCACATAAGGAGAAGCAGCTGAATTCTTCTAAGAAGCAGGTGAGACAGTTGAGGGGATTCCAGGTCAAAGGTTATAGTCCTGTCTGTGATGTGACATCCAGGAAGATCAACAAGTTCCATTGATAGCTATATGGTTACCTTAATTTGCTCAAACCTATTCCAATGGACCATAGTTTAACTAGTGTAGTTCAGGATTATACAGGGTGAGTCAAAAAAGCAGAGCCCAAACCTAAAAAAATACATTTCATTTTGTTGTTGATGCCTACAGGTTGAGGAGGAGACAGTGCTACGTGTTGATTTGGAGAACCGTCTGCAGAGTCTCAAGGAAGAGCTGGAATTTAAGAAGCAGTTGTATGATGAGGTAATGCTATATATGCAGTTCTGATATTTGAGGCGTGTGATTGCACCTGCATGTCATCGCACGCCTAAAATCTTCCCCAGGAGTGCGAATAATTGCACATCGTTTCTTGACCCTAACTCCCGAAGCCTTTTTTTGCTAGGAACCATCCTCAGTCCTTCAAAATTTTGCACTTATGTTCAAAATGAAGGATACCCAGCACCTCAATCCTTCAAAATCGTCAGATCGTCCTGCCTCAAGAAAATGCATTCATCCGTAATCCTCCAAAATCCTCCTCCTTTTCAAAAACCATTCATCCTCAATCCTCCAAAATCCTCATGTTTCTCAAACACCATTCATCCTCGATTCTCCAAAATCCTCCAAAATCCTTAATCCTCCAAAACCGCCATGAGGATTTTGGAGGATTGAGGCGGGTTTATAGGGATAATGTGGAAGCCATAAAATGAACCAGGGTATTCATGGGCTTGGATAGATTTAGAGCTATTTACAAGTTACCAAGTTGTTAGATGCCTGTTATGCTTTTCTAACATGCTTTCCCAACACACTTTCCTTTGGTGAATGTAGTACCAGTACCTTGGGAATCTTTTTGAACTAGAACGTTTCCTGAACTCTATACTAGGCAGTAAAGATTTGAAATTTTGCTGAGTTTGGATTGTTGGTATTAAACGAGAGGATCAAACAGAAAAGAAAGGCACTTGTGAAGTTATCGAAACATCAACCTGAAGGCTGTGGTTCATGGTACCCGGTAGGTGTAAAAAGGGAACGTGCATTGGCGACTTTATAGAAGTACATGCTTCGGCTGCAAATTTATGAAAGTTAAAGTTGAAAAGTTAAAGGGAAGATACAACATTTGAAAACATAAAAAACGAAATGATCAAATCATCATGAAATATCTTAGTGGATTGTTACGGAATGACAGTCTAAAACATCCTGTAAAATCGTGGCTCCGGGTGTGCTGACATTTTCAAGAAAAAGTGTATTTTTCCAACACTGGTCGGACGACCAGCGTTGGAGAAAACTGGATTTTTTTTAAAAAGTGCTCCTAATTTGTAATATTTAGTTAGTCTGCATTCTCTTTGCAATTAATTACACACCTGTGTAGACTACAAGCCTGTTCGGACTGATTCTCTGATCTTACAATTCCCCAAAGTCTATACATTTTTCCGTTTCATCTTAAGTGGGGTCAGGGAACCAGACTACAAGAATATGATTGGTTTTCTTGGTTTTTCCAGCATCTACGAACCCAAAACGTGAAACAAGTCAGTGTAATGATTTGCTATAACATACTTATCCTCCAAATCCATTTATTATTGAAAATTGCAGCAAAAGCAAATGTTGTACATTCCCTTTTAAGCAATTTTAACTCTGGCAAATGTAGAACTATGCAATTTGCAAATTTGCTACGTACAAGTGCGTACATGTGAACCTTCTTTAGTTGCACCAACACAATGATAGACAATTCAGTGACATTGCGAGCTTTAAAACTGATCGCTGTACCTTGTGACAATTGTGCAGGAAGTGAAGGAGCTGCGTAGCAAGTCGGCCATCGATTTCACTGAGATTGACAGCCAGGCTCGCAGCCAGTATGAGAGCAAACTGATTGAGAGTCTACAGGAGCTGAGGGAACAGCATGAGCTGCAGACCATGCAGCTACGTGAGGAGACCGAGTCCATGTTTGAATCCAAGGTGACAGATTTCCCAGTATCATCCCCCCCCCCCCCCTTGCCAAAAGAATTTGAAAATAACTGTTGTTTTTAGCAATACAAAAGTTTTATCACCAAGTAACACCCCCCCCCCCAAAAAATAAAGAAGGCCAAGTTCAGTCATGGTATTAATCCAAGGGGACACATTTCCTAGTGTTATCCCCCTCCACCCATTTTGTTTTTTTAAATCACCATTGTTTCTAGCAATACAACAATTTTCACCTAATAAATCCCCCCCCCCCCACCCGAAAAAAAAAGTTAAGTCATGGGAATAGTTTCTCAAGTTGTCTGGTGCCCCACAGCAATTTGGTTCTCACATGGTATACTGGTTCCCAGCCCCACTTTTTGAATCAATTACTGGCACCAGTCTACTCACAGGGCATATCTGTTTGTGTGCAAAAGCAACTCCAAAGTAAAGCTATTTTTTAGGTATTGCAGATGCCTTTAAAAAGAAAAAAAAATAACTTTTTTGGTTAAAAAAAAATTTCATTGGTCAAAACTAATAAAGACGAGAAAAGCGCATTGTTGAAGTGCATGGACATGACAGTACAGTCGACTCTCGTTAGTACAAACTCTGTTGATACAAAATTCTGGTTATAACAAACATAAAGCCTTGGTCCCGACTGTGCATTTATGTGCACAATGAATGGGACTGATGTTCCTCTTAGTACAAAATTCTGATATTTACAAACAATTTGGCTAGGTCCAAACGAGTTTGTTATAACGAGAGTCGACTGTATATCTTTCACAGACAGCTAATGTTATACAAATAATGAATGTTTATGAGTGCAATGGTAACAATAATTTCATGAGGTGACAGATGGAATGATCCATTTTTGACAGATGGAATGTTCTGCAGAGTGGAATGGAACATTCCATCTGTCACAGAAGATTATTGCACAAATGTGAAACACTCATTGCACAAGTGTGAAACACTCATTATAGTCAGAGCCACACTCACAATAGTCAGAGCCACCAAAAGTGTGTCCGTGCAATGGAACTTCCATTCACCGTGGAATGGAACTTCTATTTTCGCCGTGCGGCCATGCCGTGCATTGGGACGAATAATTAAATGACACGTGATCAACGACCCACCAATCAGATGACAGAGATTTATTCAGGCGTTGTATAAAAGTGAATTATCTATCAGTATCTTTTCATTTCCTGGAAATTGTAGTGACAGGTTTTGAGTCGACAAGCCAGCTAAAGCCACAGCACAGTCCTGTTATCAGAGAGCTAAGATTTCCGGAATGATGTAGAAATAGATTACGAGGAGTTAATAAATTAGGGTTTATTCAGCATGAAGAAAGAAATCTGATTTAGAGTGGGTTAAGAACCTGTAGGGCCACTGATTTTCTCTTTCAGTATTTTTTCCCATTTCAGGAAATCATAAATTCCGCCTTTAACATTAAAATGTGTGAGCAAATGTTTCCTGATTCATTCTATACACGTGTGTCAAGTACTGGATGTTAAGAAAAGACTTAACTAAAATACAAAACCACCAAAGGCCTTACATCACGCTTGAAATTGCAAATGTGCACAGAAATTACGTAATTTTCATTGTTTAATATTGCTTGTACATTAGGCCCCCCCCCCCCCCAAAAGTCTCCGGTTTCTGGTATGCGCGCGCGTCTCCGTAGACATGCGCGTCGGCAAAATGAAAAAGTGGTTTTTTTTTCAATGAAAGATGATGTCTCAAAACCGCCAAACTCACTGGTTTGACTGGAATCCTGCTGCTGCACAATTTTAACGTGTTTGTGGATGGGGTTATGATCGAGAATAAGCTTTATGTGGCCTCTCTGGACTCCCATTTAATTGCACTAAGTTTAGTCGGGCACCATTTGCAGTCATCAGCCGACATTTGAGGCAAAAAAATCGGGGGGGGGGGGGGGGAGAAAAAAAGCCGCGTCGCCGCACCAATTTTTGGGCAAGCTCCATACCAGAAACCGGAGACTTTTTGGGGGGGGGGCCTTAGTGCACAACTATGGGTTTTTTCAAAAACCTGAACTCCGCTTCAAACTTTGTGCCGTTAATTCTGTTTACTTTTTCCACTAAAGCAGAAAAATGAATCCCTAAACCTGCAGTATTCCTCCTTTTTTTCAACGTGTTATTTCTTTTTTCCTCCTGATACAGCTGAGTGACTTGAAGGCCCTTGCTGAGCGTTACCGTAACGCCTCAGTCACCAGCCAGGATGACTTGCGAATCATGCGTACCAGGGTGGATAACCTGCAGTCTGAACTGAACTCCATCAAGGCTCAGGTAAGAGCTTCACCTTGTGCTCCATTATAATGGCTTCTTTTTCCAACAGGTACTTAAAATCCCCTCACTACAGCCTGCAATTATGGGGTGCTGTGGTCCAGTGGTTACAGTGTTCAACTTGTGTACCGTGGTACATGGGTTCGAATCCTGATTGGGAACATGGTGCTTGTGCTCTTGAGCAAGGCACTTTACCATTATTGCTTTGTCCTTCAGATGGGACGTAAAGCCGTAGGTCTCATGTGTTGTGTAATATACGTTAAAGAACCCAGTAACACTTGTCGCTAAGAGAAGGGGTTTGCCCCGGTGTTTCTGGCAGTGGCTGCTTAATGCGCCGCAGCACCTTGTAAGCCCTTATAAGGTGCTACATAACGGGTCTCGCATTTCTCATAAACTTCATTTACCTGTCTTTAAAAATAGACATTATTACCAGTGCCTGATTGTTGGTAGATACGTGCACTATATAAGACTCCGGTATTATTATTATTATTACATGGCTACACAAAAACCACAAGTTGATTTTAATAAGAAATGGATATGTTGACAAGACTAAAAGAAGCCTGCAATTGCCACCTTTGATACTTTCAGAAAAATGCAAGTGGAAAATGGACAGCTACGTTGCTCTAGGGCCCTCAGCGACACCAAACCCTCTGCAGGTTATGTGGTGGATATTTCATTTCCCCCCCAATCTCACCCTGCACCATACAGTGCTTGTGGTTTTGGGCAGCATAGGGAGTAACAAGCAGGGTGGCTTGGGGCTTTACCAAGAGTACTGGGCCAGTCCAATGATATTCCTCTTTCTTCTTTTTGCGACAGAATGATGCTCTGATTGCTCGCATCAAGGACCTTGAGGATCAGCTGAAGATGGAACAGGACAACCACTACGAGGCTCTGAATGACCGTGACAAGGAGCTCCAGCAGCTACGGGATGCTATGGCCCACCAGATGCTGGAGTACCAAGAGCTGATGAACATCAAGCTGTCCTTGGATACGGAGATCGCTGCCTACCGCAAGCTGCTGGAAGGAGAGGAGACCAGGTCAGAAACACCCCAACTTCTTACCCTGAGCGAGTCTTGACCCAAGACGTCAGTAATCAAGAGCGATCATTTTGTAGCAATGGGGGCGGGCCATTTTATGTAAATAAGACCGTCTGTATAAATCAGGCATGCAACTTTTCCTCGGATCAGCTGATTTCCTCTTTTTTACTTCCCATGTGTGCCATTGAAAATAGAAAAACACTGGGAAAAATTTGAATTTCCTCTTTTTTTTTGCGATTTCCCAGTTGCATGCCTGATAAATTTGAACAAACACGTTCCTTTTTATAGACCTTTCTACGCTTGGTTGGCAAACTGCACATTTTGCCAACCACAGGTTGCTAAACTATGCAAGGTCCATCACTGCAAAAGTGAAGAAGAGTTATTACAGATAACCAAAATATTATTTGATTGTTGAAAATACAACATTGTCAAAAAAGCTACAACATGATTCCTAAACACGGCTTTTTACTATGTATTGAGGGCGTTATGGGGACTTTTTTGGAAAAATATGTTGCCAACCACGGCTTCAATTTATGCGGTTGCGGCAGCCCATATGAAATGGCGCCAATGTTTACAAACAAAAGAAAGGTCTATAGCTCCATGCTTGATCACTGCACATATAGCTTGTATGTTTACAACCGTCGGGTGAGCCATGATGAAACTTTTTCTCGATCGCTGATTGGTTCCATAGGAAAGCGATGATGCTTGATTACGTAGTGCGTATATTTACAACCGTTGGTCGAGCCTTTGAACCTTTTCTCGATCGCTGATTGGTTCCCTAGGAAAGCCTAGGGAGAAAATAAAGACAAAGTTAAACCGCTGAAACAAAATGTCCAAGACGTTTGTGCGAGTAGGCCCACTGGTCTAATTGTGCCATTAGAGGGCGCACTATGCACCGTCCACTATTGATCACTATCATCGTGGGCCAAGACCAACGCTGAGCTTGCAAAAGTCAATTTCGGGAATATCTTATATCAGTAGTGAGTAAAAAAAATAATTTTCGGTGGGCTTCTCTTTTTAGCATTTCACCCGTCCCAAAGAGTATATTAAATATTTAATTAACTACCATTTAAACACTGCTAAGAAGTGTTAATTCGTACACTACCCCACACTCTCCGCATGGACTGCCTTGTACAGTTACCTGTGCTGGACTATACCTAGCGCAACACTCACACCATAGAAATGGTCCAGGCATGGATAGCAATACAACGCAAGATGTCAGAACCAACTCTGGTTGTTGAAGTTTAAGGTTTTGATGGAAACGGTATGTATGGCGTTCAGCAACGGCCATTATCATGTGCCAGACCCTTAAGCTTGTTTTAACCCTAACCTCATCTAAAGCTACAAAATACTACCAATAGTAAACTGTAGTATGAAATACTTCAGCATATAAGTATTCTGTAGTATTCAGTTCTTCATCCCAAAGTAATGACTAGGACGTTAGGTTAAGCCACACGTTTATGACTGCCCCGCCATATTACTATCCCCTTAAAAGTCTGCTGGAGTTAAAACTGTGGACATTCTAACATCAATGTCCAAAAATTAGTGGCTTGTTGATACCAGTGTTGCTAGGACAAGTTAATTTCAAGTTGTACTAAAATTGTGGCCGTTAGGTGGTTGGCACATTTTGTAAATTATTTATTTGGATCCAGGAGGGACTTTCTGATGATTTTAAATTTTTTCCACAGGCTGAAAATCACGCCATCCCCACCCCGCCACAAGTCCCACCCTACTCAGCGTCAAGCCCGTGGAACCAAGAGACGCAGGCTTGATGAGGAGGAGAGTATGGTCCAGAGCTCTACCACCACCGGCCTGGTGGTTATCATTGAGAGTGACCTCAAGGGCGATTTCATCAAGCTTCAGAATGCATCGGATCAGGTTGGAATGCACAGAAAAATGAATATCAACGTGTTATCTTTCATTTTCTTTTCATTTTTGGGTGGGTTGACCATTGACTTTTCGAGAATTCTCACTCAAAAATGTCGACCCCTATTTTTCCCAAAGCGGAAAAGTAGCCATCTTGAAAAACGATCCCTCCACAACATGGCAAAATAGCGCCACTTTCGAGCCCAATTGCATCCAAAATGTTCAGAATTGGAGGCCTTAAGTTCGGGCCAGAGGTTCCTTGCTATATCTCTTCAATTCCCCAATTTTACGGCGCTCAGAACTCTCTAGTAAAGAATATTTTGAGGGTATAACTTTTATTCATGAGCTCGGCGGATGGGTTTTGGCCTATTAATACTGGTGTGCACCCTGAAACAAGTGGCACCAGACTAATGCACGTGTGGTCTGGGTGCTTCGTCACTTTATACATGAATAGGCAAGCCTCGTAAACTTGGTCCCAGACACAGTGTAAGACACAAGTGACAGTCGGTCAGTGAGGTAGGTAACCAGTCAAATTCACAAGTGACAGTGTTAACGCGGTCTTGTGGGGTACCGGGAACCAAGGGTAACAGTAGGGATAATGGTACCTCGTAAGTTGGTCTTTAGAAGTCTCAGTATCCTAGGAGTGAAACGGTATGTAGTTTGAGATTTCAATAGAAACAGAGGAGAACAATAGTAGGAAATAAAGGTGGAAAATGCGCCAACAAAAGAGGGCGCGCTTTTACCACTTCTGAGCGCCCCTTGGACGGGACACCGTGTGTGCGCACTGTAGTTTGTGTTTGAAGTATGCACAACTTTTTTATTTCCTGAATGTGCACAAAGCCAAGCCACAGCGTCTGTGCGTGAGCGTCAGGCGTCTTCGGCGCTCGATTACGAACGAATACGTTCTAATTTAACTTGCAACGGTCTCCCAGACTAATCCCTGACCCCAATAACTTTAGATATCATTTGAAATACACAGTGGATGGATCGGGAACCAGTCTAGGTCACCCCCAACTCTCCTTTTTTGGCCGTTGATGGGGTACTTGTGCACGGAGCCCATAGTGGTACCCCATAACTACCCATATGTGCGGTTGTGTGAGTTAGTGAGTGGGTCATTAAGTTAGTAATATAGGTCCAAAACGAATTACATCTTCTTCTTCTTGCGTGTGGTCTTCCTAGCTGGGAAAGGTAGTTGTCTTGAGCCAGGTCTTTGCTGCAGGAGTGAGCTCATTGAGGGAGCCCCAGCCTCCTCCTAGGTGGTGGATGGGGCAGGCCATGATGAGTTGGTCAGCTGTCTGCGGCTCGCCACACTCGCACCTGTCTGAGTCCGCTAGGTTTCATGCATGCTTACAGGCATTGAACCGCCCTACTGCAGTTCGGAGCCGGTTGAGGCGGCACCATTGCTTGCGGGGGAGGTTCCTTCCAGATGGGGATGTTGAGACTGGTAGCGTGGTTGTCAGTCTATCTCCGGGCTGAGTCCTCCTCCATTCCGCGAGGAGCCATTGCTGTCTGTTTGGCTGAGTGCTCGCCTTCATATGTGGCTCTACCTGTCCTGAATTCTCTTGGTCTACCTATCCTGAATTACATCATTTATCATAGCTAACAATTTTTTTTCTGATTTGTTTTGTATTATTTTGTTTTAGGATCAAGCCTTAGGTGGCTGGCTCCTCAAGCGTCAAGTCAACGGCGGGGAGGAGCTGAGCTACAAGTTCTCCTCTAAGTACGTCCTGAAGTCTGGCAAAGAGGTGACGGTCTGGGCCTCCGGGAGCGGCCATGGTCACAACCCACCCTCGGACTTGGTCTTCAAGAACCAGAAGACCTGGGGTTCTGGCAAGGAGGTTGTCAGCACACTGGTGGATGCATCCGGGGAGGTAAGAACAACTTTGTTCCCATGGTCGACCTGCTGTTGTCTTTAAAGAGAATGTACATCATTGGCTTTTAATGTAATTTTCAGAAATGAACTATTTGAGGGGTTAGTATAATTGAACAAATATTGTTACACTGACATTTTTAAAGTTTTGTGTTCGAAAAGGTTGGAAAAACCAGGAAAAACAAAAATGTTCATGTAGACTGGTTCCCTGACTCCACAAAAGATAAAATGGATCACTTTATAGATGATGGAAAATTGTAAGGCAAGGGAACCAGTCTAGCTGGCCTGCACCCGTTCATGAACATGTAACCAATAGCAAACAAAATTTGGACTAAAAAATGGTAAATTTGGAGCAGTAGTTGAAAAATAGTTAGGTTTTTCCAGCGCTGGTCGGCCGACCACCGTTGGAAATCTATACAAAAAATACCATTTTCTTGAAAATGACTTCACACCAGGTGCCATAATTTTACAAGATGCTTGAGACTGTCATTTACCAACATCCAAAAACTTGGTAGTTTTATTTTTCGATGTTTGCAAATGTTGTTTATTCCCTTTAAACCCTGGCAGGGGAAGGATAGTAAAATTGGGTTCCCAACCACTCTGGAAATCAGGGAAAACCTTGGAAATGAGTTTCCATTTTTATCCCCCTGGCTTTCAAGCCAGACAGGGGGATATTGCGATCGCGCATTCCTTTTGTGTGTCAAAGTTTGTTTCTGCATTCAATAGGGGACGTTGAACAATAGAGGACAATAGGGTCCCCAATTCCCGAAGGTCCCCAATTTGGATTCATGTACAAAACATACAGGAGGTCTTCCTAAACAGTTCAAACAACAGAGGGACAATAGGGGTCCCCGATTGCAGGCAAACACACTTGATTGCGTTTGTTTATGGTGTAAATCGAGGACACACACACGTGCAACATCATCGGTGAATCGAGGACAGGAACCAAATCGAGGACGACCTCGATTAGAAATGTCAAGGAATTTGGGGAAAACACAAAAAAAAATTGAAAAAAACTCAACCATTTTGACTGAGCCAGAAGGGAAGGGTTTTGCCAGTTTGGCGTAGAGTATGTGTGGCTCGTACCATGTGTCCAAGCTGTGTCCATTGAGTGACTGGTTATGGCGGCTTTTTAACCTTAACTCCCTAGGCCTTTTTGCTAGGAAGTAGCCTCAATCCTGCAAAATCCTCCAATTGGCCTCATGGAAAAATAGCATATAACCTCAATCCTGCAAATTCCTCTGCTATTTCTTGAATATGGTCCATGGAGGAGTGACCACTGCCTAAATCCTGCAAAATCCTCCGGCTATGACTGTCAATAGGCTGAGGCAGAGGCAGTGACATCCTGGAGCAGTGCGGAGGATGTCAAGTATAATCAAGGACTAAATTTATGCACGGCTGAGCATAAACAACACAAGGTCGGGCCCAAGACCTTGACACAGTGCGTACTCCGAAATCAGCAACGCACTTTTGCCATGTAACCTCAATCCTGCAAATTCCTCCAATTTGCAAAGAGGATTTTGGAGGATTCAGGGCGGTTAGGGTTAATGTTTTTGCAGTGTGAATATTATCAGTATCTTGGTTTGCTGCAACCACCTATGAAGCACATTATCCATTTATATTGTGACTTTGTGTACTTATTTTGGTTGTTTGTCGTTTTTGTTCAGGTGATGGCTACACGCACCATGAGCACCACATCGATCAGCTATGACGGCGACTCTCAGGAGGTGGGCAATGAAGAATTATTTCATCAGCAGGTTAGGGGGCTCTCACCAATGCAGAATCATTTTATCACTGGGTTAGGGTGTCATCTGCTGTATGCTGTCCATCACTCCTTGTGCATTTGTTTTTTCAGTTCAGTTCATTTCGCACATTAATCTCAAACAGGCGTTTAAGAATACAACGATATTTCTAAGTCGTGTAAGTAAAGGAAATGATAGCCTTGCTGTCTTTACATTTGGGAAACATTGCTTGTTATGAGGGAGTGACCCAACAGATCCATCCAAAATAGCATCTGATTTCCATGGATTTTGAAGGGTTTGGGATTTCATACTTTGAGTTCTTAGTTTGGACAAAGATTTGGCCTTTGGATTACTGCAGGATAGCAGATGAATGCAGATTCAGGAACTCCCTAGGATTAGTAGCAGTGGGATTAGGTGTAAAAGGAACTCAGCAGCTGTAGCAAACGAGCCTGCAGAGCTCGCAGCTGGCCGGTGACTAAGGGACACATTTTGCTAGCAAATTCCGCTGACTCCGCAAACGGTTGTTATTAAAAGAGAACCTTTATAGGTCTCTCACAAAGACGGCCTTCTCTGTAGGAGAAGTGCAACTGCGTATTTTACGCAATCCAGCACGCATTGCGCAGTGTTGAAAATGTTCCAAACATGCGCGCTTGTTACTTTAAATGTGTTCGAAATATGACGCAGCCGATGCGCGTTATGCAAGTTGACGCTCAAAATGCTGATGCAGGTGGCTGGTCTGTAGAAAAAGACGTCATTTGAGAGCTCAGCTTATAGAATGGCAACAAGTTTCAAACATAAATGAAATCTTATCCTCTTCAGTTATCGCAGTTGTTTGGCTCAGATCCAGTGACATTTTGGCACAAACATAACAAGGTTAGGGTATTTCGGAAATAAACTTGAATAGGAGCTGTCTTCTCGCACACGTAGCATTTGCCGTAACATTTTGTGTAGTATTTGTATGCCAGCAAGTGTGCACATCAACTACAGTTTAACCACAGTCTTGTCAACATGATTTAACTCCAGTTTTCTCTGGAGTCTGTTAAACTTCCTTCACAAGTCACTGACTGTGCAACCTGCTATTGGGTCAGATTCCCTAAACCAGTCAGCCAACCCATGCAACCTCAGTGGTCAAGTAGTAATGGAGTTGTCCGCATTAAAGACGGTGTCTCGTGGAGCTTTTTGGTCTGTAAAGCAGTGGGAGGATTTAGCCTTGAGTAAGGTCATTGCTTGGAGTCTCACCCGGGCAAAGTTGTGAATTTTTGGCACGGTTTCAGACAGACCTGAGTATATACATATTATATCGTTTCTTCAGATACTGTAAATCCATTGGTTCTGTCGGCTTTGCCTCGGGTGATATGCGCTCCGGGGGTGTTAAAAAAGCCATATCCCACATTACACTCAGTCAACAATTGTTAGATAGTGCCCATGAAATGTTGCTCATGAAGGGCAAAGCAATATACATGTAAATGCACATGTAATAGAATGAAAGTGAGCTATTCCCAAAGTATTCTACTGGGCATGGTTACATGTGTACTACATGTATATCAGCATATTGCAAACTCAACCTCGTGCCCCGTGGGTACGATCTTGCAGCGCCATGTTATTCCCATCATGCCTTGCGCGATCGTAACCCCTGGAATTGTGCAATTTAAATATACCAAAATACGGTATATTATAATTAGGGCTGCAGTTTGTCTGTTTTACGTGCCGACGCCATCTTTAAAATGTTAAAAGTTGTGATTTTGAAGAATCAATCCTTTCAAACACAACGTTTGGACGTTGTGTTAATTAGCAAAGATTTGTATTAAATGTACGTACCCCTTTCGTGCCTTTACAACCACAGATACAGGGTTTTTTTTAGCGAAAAACGCGGCTGACATAATCCATATCGTACAGGCATCGCGACTTTTGAATCATAAATTTTTTTTTTGTATGTGACGTTACGTGCAAAGCTAAGCACGCGAGCGCATTATGGGCGCGCCCGGCGTGCAATCTTCGAAATGCCCGCGCAGTACGCTGTGAATAGCCATTCAGCGTCATTTACGTCATCATCACAGCCAGGGGTTAGTGTAAGGAACGAGCACGTGCCCCTGGAGTCGAGGGTGTTGCAAACTATAACAGAAAGCAGTGGATCATGAGGTTGCCCTTTGTCACTTTTGCTCTTGTGAACAAGTGCTTGTGCAGGCAATAGCTAAAATAGCTGTAGGTTGCATAGGTTAATGAGCAGATATTCAATATTGCTTAGGTTTGTTTCACACTATAGCTTGCGTACCCAGCTGTTGTCCTAATGCCACCCTTGCCACCGCACCTCCCAGCCCCAACCCCTTCCCAGCCCCAACCCCTTCCCAAGCAGTCTTGTATAAGTTTTCATGTATTGTCTTGTGTCCAGTGCCTTCCATGTGCAAACATGCAATTTTGTGTTCATGTTTGTCTTCTACTGTCTGGAAATTCCTTTCCATGTGCGCGCACTAGTCCTTGAAAGTTGCGCTTTTACTTGAGTTAGAACTGGACTACACTACCCTATACCATTTGTGTGTGTCTCTTTCTCTTTGTTGTTAGCCATCTCGATGTGAATGCATTGTCTGCTAAAAAGCCACTATTCCCCCCTTCCTATCTCATTGCTTCTCATCCAGGTAGGTTTATCACACATCCCCCTTTTCTCCTGCTGCATGCTCTAATTCCCCATGCTGATAGCTTCCTGTGTTTGTGTGTTATGGTATCTTCCAATCACCTTAAGAGTTACTGACAGGCATGTCTGTTTCTTGTCGTTGTTTTTATGAACGAGTGTTACTGTAATTGTTGTGCACCTGTTGTTTATCTAGTCTCTGGAATATCCCCTTGCACAGCAATGTGAGCAAATTTGTCAATTAATTATGCAAAACAAGACTGCATGTTGACCTCAAGATTCATATGATTCAGCAGGGGCCTTTTATCGGGTCAATTCAGTAACCCGTTGTTGTACTACAAAAACATGTCAGCCAAATTGACCAATCAACAGCTTGGTCCACATTTCAGATAGAAATGATGTCACATTTTCTGAAGTCAACTCTGATTGGCTGGCAGCGCGGGGTCGCATAAAATTTGCATTGCTCAGATATATCAGACGTTGGTTACGGAGAGGGGGCTTCGTTGGACAACGGGTGATACTCAGACTTCTGTTGATGTAGAACTATTTAACAAATAAATATAGAAAAGAAAGGGAAAAAACCCATATCGTCGTGTGACAAGGAAAAAGACGTAAGCAGCCCAGGCACGCAAAAAGCACTTTTGGAGATAATCGAGTTGAAAGGTTTTGTGCTGCCATTTCTAGATTAAAAATCACATAAGGTTGAAATTTTGACTGATAAACCTTGTTAATAATTAAAATAATAACGTGCATTTTTATGTCAAAATATTACTTAATTGTGAAGTTATTTCAATTTTTATGCTAACGACCTTTTACCGGGAACTTCACAAGCCTTAAATGTACGCTAAAGCTGCATGTTAAATCCTTACGTCCTTTTGCCAGGAACAAAGTTGGCTTTGCGTACCCTTTTGGGGGGACGTTAGCGCGTTTGGAACATTTTTTGTTAAATGAGAATTACACGCCTACGATCTTTTGCTGGGCACAAATAATGACAAACCTCCTTCCGTCTTTTGTTTACTGTTAATTACGTCAGAATGACGTAGCCCCTTGAGACAATATGTATATCAAATGGAAGATATTTCCAAGCTCTGTCAATTACCCGAACAATCTGAATTTGACCTTTTGACCCATTTTTCCGCCCTTACGACCTTCTTCCAGGCACCCGACGATATGTTATGTTATGTGTAACTGCCATTTCCAGTGACACATAACATACAGAATGTTGCATGCTTTCACTGATTATAAGCCTTGTACTGATTCTGAAACTTCTAGATGATACCTGAAGGTCCATACTCATGCCAGACACATTAGACATGAGAAACATGCCATCACTGTTGTCATGATCTTAACAAGGGTTTCTGATAACAAGTACTTGTAACTGTGAATGATTCTGATATCAAACTTTTGTCTCGTCTTCAACAGGGCGATAATAGGGGATGCTCCATCATGTAAGCCTGCCGACTGTGATGTCATCATGATGTCATTGTGATGTCATCATTAGTGCATCCAGGAGAGTAACAGTTGGACAGCGTCAACTTGCAGAAGGGTCAACTTTTGGAAGTTAAACCAATTGGTGCTACTCTTAGCATGCAGTAAGATGTGAATTGGCGTAACTTTGGATTCCTCCGCACAAAGAACATCCATCATTGTTTTTAATAGTACTTTTTACTTCCACATAGCTGTTAATTAGATGATACGTAAGGGTTCAATAAGGGAATGACAATGTGCTGAGCTGATTTTGATTATCATGACTATGCAGAGTCAGTCGCCTTGTTCAGATGTGGTGGACACAAGATGAGGGCGCTATTTGGTTTGGCTAACCACTTCGCGCCGGCATTATGTTGACATTGACCGTACCCAGGCGCGGGATTGTTTTTCACAGACCTCGATGCCACAAGGGTTCAGGCTGTCATCTGCAGGTAGCACACCCTGATATTTCTGGCCTCACTCGCTGCGAGCGGGTCGCAGACAGATATTTCTGGCCTCGCTCGTTGCGTGTTTATCCGTCATCTGTTCCGAATACCAAAAAACATTTGCGTGTATACACATCATCTGACGTGAACTGGTTAAACCAAAATTTGAGCAAAGTTGTATTTGCCCAAATTTAGCCAAACCTAATAGCACCCCCTATTGAGTCAATATTGTGTATGCGAATCTCAAAAAAAGGGTTATGGATCTAGCTGTGGAGCTATTGAGATATGTCATGCCCCTTCAGAAGTCGTCATTGACAATACAATGTATTGAAGAAAGTATAAAAGTTTGTGGGGGTTCGGCTTGCTTTAATTTTGTGCACGAACGTATCTGCAGAGGCACTCCAAAACAGTATGGACACTTATGTGATAGTAGGAAAGTCAGGGCTGGGGCGCGTGTAAGGCCCTTTTCTTGTGTATTAAAATGTTTAATACTTGGCCTTTCAAGTGTACGTGCTTCATTCCCTGATCTTCCTATAATAGGAAGAGTTTGATAATGCATCGGCTCAAGACAGAACCCATGACCACTAGAGATGGCAAACAGGAGGTACAGGTAGTTTCAAATGGTTATAAACTTATTAGTTATTGAAAACAATGTGACTTGTACAGAGCAAAGGTAGTCTTAGCTTCAATTTAGAAGTAGGGCGAAGTATTTTTGAATGAAAAGTTTTGATTTACATGTAATCCAAAGCAGTAGCTTTTGCAACATCGTATCGAATAACATGTTTTGCTTTTTTAAATCTCACCTGGTTAGTGTACAGGTTAATAGTTTAGTTTTATGCAGCAAATGACCAGGATGATAATTAACTTTTTGTGTTTAGTTTATAGGCAGTCACATAGGTGCTTTTGTAGATTTTAAGATTACACTTTACATGGATCCGTCATACGAGAAATATTATGGTGATTGTAAACAAGGAACCAATTCCGTTCAAAGTCAGGATTTGGGGGGGGGGGGGTTTGTTTTTTACTTGTTTATTATTTCAGTTAATGAAATTTGAGAGTTCTGCAAAGGAAACTTAACAAAAAACGAGAACAGAATGCCAAATAATTAGCTCCTGTCTCCCCGTCGACCCAGCAAGGTCTTTCCATCTTACCGATCTTCAAAGTAGTGTTGGTAGTTTGATACCAATTCAGTGCCGTAGAAGTTTATTTCTGTACAGCAGGCCTTTAATACCTGAAGTCTATTTTTCGTTACATGTTAGTTATTTAAGTAACAGTACCCATAGTTTTAGGCAGTCTAGGCAAAACATGAAAGGGATCCCTGTGGTTTTTTCATTTCTATGAAACAGTGTGAAATACGCATAAACGTCTCCCAATGGGACACGCACGGTTTTTACAGACTACAGTAATGTGAATTCCGACAAGTATTATTCAGTTTTGTGTAATGTTCTCATTTGGCCAGTCATGAATCCTATTGTCACTACCACGGCGTAACTTTTGCACAAGGTGCTCTTTTTGAGTAGAAGCAAGCCCACCATCTCAGAGTTAACCTTGATTAAAGTTTACTGAATTTTTCTTGAGGAGTAGGTTAAAATATTGTTAGATTGGTTCGCTGAATTTTTGATATGAAGGTCCGTGTTTGTATGTATTGACTTGCATGCACATTGCCTTTTCATCGTGAAAAGGTACATGTCTCTGGAAAGACTAGTATGTTGATTTGTTTCCTTGTGGAAAAACTTAACATGGTAAGTTACTAAAGAGCTTCGACAGGTGTTTGATCATGCATTTTTTTTACTTCATGATATTCTAGATTTTGGAATGTAATTTAATTATGGCGGAAAAATTGAGCTGGATTCTTGTTGTAGGGATGGCTAGTTTACTTTTTGATTCTTTTTGTCATGAAAAATACACGAAGTGTTGGATGTAATTGTCGGATGTTTAGGTTTTTCGATTGATATGTAAGTTGTGTGGTTTTTCTGGTTTTTGTTGTTGACATTTTAACATGGCACTAGTTTGCTGTTCTGGATTCTCGATGTGGACTGGTCCTGATGTGTATAGAATGCACTGTATGACAATACTAACACTTGCCTTATGTACTTTAACCTTTGGTTGTTTTTTTGTAATGCTCGATGATTGGTTTCATTTCCATTCCAAACTTGATTATCATGTGACAATCTCAATTGAAATCCTAGGAGTACCTTGCCGAAGTATTTGAACTGGACCATTCGTAATACACGAATGGTTATATTTTATAAGATGAATATGCAGTTCACATGTAATGTGATTTGTCAGCCAACCTGATTATTCAAATGACATTTAAAATCAAAATGACAGTAGACCTTAAATAGTATTTGTATTTACACCTAAAAAGAAATGGCTGAATTAGAAATGGTAGACTGCATGCATATGTCGACCAACTGCCAAAAAGTACTTGCTAAAAGTGGCAACATTGCAGGCGCAAAAGCTTGAACTAATTTTATTTCCTTGTTGATATTAACATGATTTTATCAAATTACAAGATCATGATTACAAATAGAAAAGTACATTTTAAATTTTCATATGTAGTTTAGATTCACCGAAGTTCAACTTCACGGCTGAATACTTACTTCATTTATTTTATAAGAGGATTTAGGTTTATTATTTCATAGCGTATCTTATGCCGATCTTTGCATGTTGCGAGGTGGTCAAAACCTGGAGGTAAATTACAATGTACCTTTTGACCATTTCTGTAGTGTTTGTTGTTTTAGGTTAGACAATCATGATTTCGTTGTTGAATTAGTTTTATAGAGATGTTGAAATAAAAAAAGACTTTTTTTCCACTGTGACTTTTTTTTTTGGCCACTGATGGTGTTTTGTAATGGTTAAAAATTAGGAATTTCTGGTGTCAGAAAAAAATGGATTTTAAAAATTCAGCTTTGTATCTGAAATAAAGAACACAAAAATGTATTTGGTACGCATAGTTCATAGAAAATGGTGTGAGAAAAAAACATCGCAGTATGTTGATGGAAAACCTGAAAGGATATCTTTGGGTTTAGGACCAAAGTAGTTAACAGGAATAGTTGCCGATTCTTTCGGTCGCTCTGATCTCGGAAAGAATGATGCAACATGACGCCACTTTTTTCCTCATATACCATCTATCTCAATTAAGGTCAGTTTGCAAAAATGTTGAAAAGACATGAATCTAGGACTGAGAAACATTTCCAATTTGGTTAGGAAATACTTAGAAAATGTTCTTGACTCTCCGTAGACATTGTACACGACCGCTGAAGTGGCGTCTGGATACTACATTCTTTACCTGATCTCCCCACCGACTGAACAGTCCTTATGTTGCCAAGACTAGCACTATAAAGAAAGTTCAGTTCATTTGTTTTACAGATTAAGTATAATACACTGCTAGTTTTAATGGTGTTAGGTTCTTTCCTTTTGAATATTAAGAATAAACATTAGAATGTGCTTGCTAAACTTTACAATGTGCTTGCTAGTTCATTCGTGTAAATTATTTCTGGTTAGAAAAGCAATCCCAAGGAAATAACTGACAACATTCGCCCCAAACGATTGAGGATTCCGATATGACATCCCAGTGAATGCCAATATAAGTTAGCCCACGTGTCAAACTTTTCCGGAGCTATTGGAAAATCAGATTATGTCCTCATAGTAGACCGCGCAGTTTGTAGACGCTGACGTGTGATGTGCACTCTGGCTCATTACAATAGTAGAAGTACATGTATGACAGTCGTACTCGTACTCCACCAATACATGTATCCTGCAAATGCATGGTTTCGGGCTTTTTTCCTTCAAATTATAAATGACATTATTGGCACCAAACGTGTGTTTAAGTTTCCTCTACACTTCTCAGGCAAAAGTCCATCCATTACATCCCTGTATTGTGTGTTCACAATTCACTGATTCAAAAGGCTGCAGACAATATGGAGATTTCAAACTTTCCAGGAGCACATCCTGGACCCCCCCCCCCCAAACAAGCCGGGCGTCACGTGTGAGTGGCACTTATTCACAGCTACATCCCTCCTGAGCCAAATATGGACCCGCCCTGAGTAAACCCACGGAAATCTACTAATCATTACAACACCTCACCCGCAGATTCTGTGTCTTGATTGGCCGAGGGCGAGTCACATGGTACTTTCTATTTTTGCTATATTTCTGTGCACGGCTAAAAGTACTATACCCGTAGCAACCAAAGTACTATACCATGGCGCGATGTTTGTGTGCAAATGCAAGATGGTGTGCGCGTCGAGCGTTGCGCCAGCGCTACAGAGTTGGGTTCAAACATTTCGTGAAGGGGTGGTTTGGAAGAGAGAAATACATGTACAATTTTCACCAATTTTCTATTTTCACTGTAACAGTATTAAGATTGAAATAATGTTAAAATATTAAAACCAAGCAGAATCTGTGGGAGAGGTGTTATTATACAAATAATGAATGTTTGTGAGTGCAATGGTAAGAATAATTTCATGAGGTGACAGATGAAATGTTCCATTCCACGAGGCGAAGCCGAGTGGAATGGAACATTTCATGTGTCACCGAATGAAATTATTCTTTCCATTGCACGAACGTGAAACATTCATTATTTGTTTTATATAGCACCTAAAAAAATACTTGTCATCTGACTGGTTGACTTTTAATAGCCAATTTATTCAGGTTAAAAACTGTTTGAAAGTTCGACAAGTTCATCATAATTATTAAATTTATGCAAACTGTTCAACAAGCTGAGAACAATCATATTCAATTTATCTCGATTTAAAACAGCGCCACCGCCAGCAGTAGTGACACCGCGCAATGGAAGTTCTATTCACCGTGCAATAGAATTTCGATTGCACTGTGCGCTGCGCGCCACGCGTGCGCCATGCGTTGGGACGAATAATTCAAAGACATGTGATCAACGATCCACCAATCAGATGACGGGGATTAATTCAGATGTTGCATAAAAAACACAAACAAATATTGACTGTTTTATCTCGTGGTGAAGTAAAACTAGCCTCCCTAGCTCGGTGACCCGTGGAGCATTCTATTTTCCCTCGGCTTCGCCTCGGAAAAATTAAAAGAATAACCATGGATTACCTCGAGCGAGAGGCTAGTTTTACTACATTCAATATTTGCAAAACATTTGGAACCTAAACTTATTTTTTTGAGTCGATGAATTCGTTTCTCCAGTGATCTAGTTTGGATATGTTGCATCCGTTGCGATCCCACACATATTTTTCTTGTTGCGCGCCATCAGAACGTAGCCATTCATGCCCCAAGATACACCTGAAAGGGGAAAAGGGGGGGGGGGGTAAGCTTTTTACTCAGTTCATTTTGTTTTGGGGTGTTTGTGGTGAGCGTGGGACAATGGCATCCTAAAATGGCATCGGCAGGTAATATGTGCAAAAGTGTGCCTTTGATGACAGAAGCATGAAATAGGGCATGTCAGAATATACCTTTATGATGTTATATGACCGCCATCAGTGCCCCCTGGAATGTACATTGAGACTAGCGGGAGGAGACCCAATGTGGCAAATATCTATTTAAAGAACTTTGTACACAACTCATGTTCCAATTATTAATACATCAAAAATAATGATCTTAGTGCCATGCAAAAATAATGATCTTAGTGCAATGCATAATGATCTTAGTGCCATGCTAAATTAGGAGTCCCAATGTGGTAAATATCCACTTAAAGTACTTTGTACACAACTCATGTTCCAATTATTAATACTTAAAAAAAATGATCTTAGTGCCATGCTAAATTAGGATGACTTGGAAACTAACTGCTAGAGGCTAGTTGGACGAAGATAAACTAGAAATTCGACTACATTCTTTTACATTGAACAGAATAATGCATTTACCCCAAGAGTTTTTGCAGATCCAATATTCCTGGCCATTCTGTTGCCCGTAGCCAACAAGCAGCATGCTGTGGTCCAACAGGGTGGAAGAACAGTTACCACTGGCGTACACACCGCTGCTGTAAAACTGGAATGATGCCTGACTAGCATCAATACTGACCATGACTGGCTCTATGTCTACGGCTTCGGCTAAGGCATCTTCACTCCCGGAGTTGACTTCCTTCCCACCAGTTGGAACCTAGGTATTAAAAAACAAGACCTTTTTTGCTTAAGGATTCTGTAAGGGGAAATCACAACAACAACGATGATGAGGATGGTCGTAAAAAATATTGTGTTCTTTTGTTGATAACGAAGCACTCTTAAACCAACATAAAAGTGGGTCTCTTTTGTTCAGTTAGGGTTTGGCCTGACGCCAAGCTCAAGGCGGGGTTGGGCGTGATAATGTAGCACAATGTATACAGTTGTTGTAGCCCGTTAGTTTTTGCTGTAGATTTAATTTGTTCTGTGCAGAGTAATTTGTACATGGCGTGGACTCAAAATCGGAGTTGTCTTGAGTTTGAAAAACCTGTTTGTGTGTTCTTTAGCTGGCGTTTTTCGCAGCATGGGGGGGGGGGAGCAAGAACCCAAGGGCAGATCCCGGAACACAATTTGGGGGGGGGGGGCAAAAAATGTGGTCCTCCAAAAAAGTGGGTCAAAAGAATTACGGCGTGGGGTTCGGGGCCCGCTTAAGGGGCCCGAAAAATTTTTGGATTCTAGATGCTCTGTGGTGCGATCTGAGGCAATTTCTGACCACTTTAACCAAAGTTTTTTTGAGGAAAAGATGGTGGTGTACTCATTGCCTGCCTTTATTGCGATGTCACATAAAAAAAAAAAAAATGGTTTCGTTTTTGGGGGGCCATGGCCCCCTTTGGCCCCCCCCCCCCCTGGATCTGCCCTTGCAAGAACCCACTATTTTCACGCTACAATACTTTTTGGTTGGAACTGCTCACAGTGTATTTCTTATATTTTGCTTTACCTCGGCATAAGGTGTGCAGTATCTGCTACGGCATGTCCCATTGCCTGGCTTGTACTCGTTATCTTTACAAAGGCCGCCCAGTTTGTGGATGCAGTCAAAGATGAAATCGGCAATGTGAGATTGGCAACAATCTTGCACCTCTTGAGCGCTCAGCGTAGCAAGTTTGCCAGTGTTGATAGCATGGTAACTAGCCACTGCGTCTGTGGAAAGACCAAGATCACTCAACGAATTATATTCAAGCAGTCGAGTTGGTTCTTTGCCTTTGATCTAAGTGATTCGTTGCCTGCATTTAAAGATTGGCCTTTTCTTCTACTGCTCATACTGACTGCCGTGCATCGTTCACGTACCGGCTGCAGCAAACGCTGCCGCTGAGCCAGACTGGCCCTGGTTACGCACTGGTGTGACGTCACCCTTCGTCCGCCAATCCACGCTCGTTGGCAGGACCACGTGGTGCGACTGTACGACTGGGGATAGCTGACGGTAGGTGAAGGTAGATTGCTTTCTGGTCATCTACTCAGAAATTGAGGAAGAACACACGTTGGTTCTAATTAGTTTGGTAGGATATTCATTTTGGTTTACGAAATTATGTTTATATTTTTATTCCCGAATAAAGCAACTGAGTATACCTCCAGTTACAAACGACATCATCAGAGTTCTACCTTTTAGAGAATAATAAAATACAAGAACAAGATAACCTCTGAATCATGCAAATTTGTTTTTGCTACAGACCTAATTTTCCGAAAAAGGTCAGGCTGATACCTGTGTCTGGTCTCCATATTCGTTCATCGATAGGTCGAAGGTTCTATCCAGTTTAGAATAGTGCTCATTGATGAAGACATAATTCCTTTCCCATATAGACCTCTTCTCGACTTCTTCAGACATGCTGTCGTATTTCTTGCCGTACTTTTCTTTCCATGTCTTCCACTCAATCTCGGAGTGTATGTCAATATGTGCAGGGGAAGCTACGTCACAGGAAACGAACAATCCCGCCAGAAAGCACAGTAATGATGTTGTCTTCATATTGTGGTCAAATCTGAAAAGGAATGATCGAACAACAAGACAAGGTATAGTTCCAGCTGGTCCCTTTTTATTTTTAGAGTTCAACTAAGAAATTGACTAGATCGGGGTTTGAACGTGCGACCTCCGCCAGAGTGAAGTTTGGATCTTTTGGAGTGGTTTTTCACAATGGCCCATAGTGAAAATCACTCTAAAAGAGTGAATTAACTGCCACTCTTTTGAAGAGCCTTAAGGAGGACAACTTCGAGTGTAAATTTTTCACTCTTTTACATTTAGAGAGTAACAAATTAACTGAGATGTTGGCATTTCCTCATTTTGTCAACACCAAAACCCCGCATATATGCCATGTAGCCAGGGATGCTAGCAACATCAGCAATGCTGTGCAACAGTCGGATATAGCATGCATGGGATATCACTCAAAGAGGATATATACGGCTTTGCATAATAACTTGACACAAACGGAAACCGTAGGCTAGGTGTATTATGATTATTTTGAACAAAGACATCTGTGTAAACTCATGCATGATAATTGATGTACTGTTCATTTATGACAAAAAAACAAATCTGTCCATCTTACTCACGTAGGGCTAATGATTAACGATGACTATAAGTAGGCCTAGACAGAAAGCCCTCCATAATCAGAAATTGTACGCATTATCATTAAGGCCTCATCAGGAACTAGTACAGGGAAGGACTGAACAAAGTTACTTTGTACCCTCCGATATCCCACGTGAACTGCCACATCACATCCAACGCAGTCAATAATATTGTGCACCATTGACCCCTATACGAATTATCCTGGCTTAACTTCCGTATGTATCAATGCAGTAGGCCTACAGTTAAACGGATAGGTCTAATTAAACTTACCAAATAATGCACATGCATCTATTCAATTTGCAGTTCTGTCAGGTGGCTTTTCTTTTGACTAGGTGCGCACTTCTATTGAAGAAAAGTGTCTATACATGAATGCAGATGTCCGCCTGTTGGAGCGCAAGCTAGATCACGTGCAACCGTAGGCCTAATATACAGCCAAGTACTTGTAGTTCAGGTGAAACGAACTACATGTACATGTACACCTCTATGACAAAAAGCAAACCTGTAACCCACAACACAAAGGATTTGTTGACTCAGTCATAAATTCATACTCGATTGCCCTTATCCTTGACACGGTCGGTTGATGTTACGCATGCAGTTAAGTTGTAGCCCCACCTGTAGTTTGGACATACTGCACTAATCACGGTTGGGATCCCCAATAATAATGCGGGGGGGGGGGGGCTTTATTTAATATATAACTTAGGTGGGGCCAACTTATGGTACGTTGCATTGGGATCTCTCAAAAAGCCCATGTATATTACTTTCCGGCGTGATGCATTTGCGATTCAACATTAAAAATAATTTACATAAAATAAACATTGTAATATTTTTTCATCGTTTGCTTGTGGCAAATACTCTACGTTTAAAAGAAGTCCAAGTATCCCACCAATGTAGCCACTCCATCATGATCGAGGGTGCCACATGATCAGATACAACGACGTATTGAGGGACGAATGGAACAAACTCTTTGGTTTTTAAGATATAACTATAATCACAATTAAGCACGTGACTGACACTGCTTAATAATGGGCCGATCGAAAATGTCTTGAAAATCGTCTTCCTCTTCGTCGTTCTCGTAAAATTCATGCGCGCCACTGCCTGCAAGTTCGTGTGTGGCCGATATATCTTTCTGCTTATTTTTCAAAGCGTGGATTGATAGGGAGGCTAGTCCTACATATGTGATCCTTTCCACTAGAATTCCGCTCCGTGAGTGACCGTACAACAAGGGCGAATTTTGCCTAGCAACGCTGCCTTCTTTGGTGGGACTACGCTGGTTCACTGCACGCTGTTCCTTATACCAAGGGGATGCGTGTAGACGGTTCCCGATCACTTTAGCTTTCATGTGGCTCTGACTTCGAAAAGGCATGTAGTTATGGATCGAGACAGAAATTATGTTCAACATTAAGATTTGAGTTAAAATCGGTTTCGATCGGGCGCCATCTTGCTAAATATTGAACATAATTTAACGGCTCCCCACCAGCCTCTCTTGAACCGGTGAGGGGTACTTCTGCACAAGGCGGATACCATAGATGCTGCTTCTTCGTGACGTCACAACATCATTCCCCGCTATAGAAGAGATCAGCTATTTGAACAGTTCTTGTCAGATGTTCCCCTCTGCCCATCATAAACCTCACGACGGAGTCCCAGTGAGGCACCAAGGATTTGTTTTTTTGGGGTGGGGGGGGGCCTAAAAAAAAAAAAAATTTAGAAGTTAAATTTTGTCAAAAAATGTTGCCCATAATTTTGGGCCGCAGAAAAAAAATTGGTGTTTTTGTTTTTGGTGGGGACGGACTATTTTTACGTTTGTGGTGCCACTTACACCCCTATTATACTACTCGTAAATAGGCCACATACATATCACCAAGGTCAAATCGTGGAACTTAAAAAAAAAAAAAAAAAAAACCTCTTGGGGGGGGGGGCTCAAGCCCCCCGAGCCCCCCCCCCCCTTGGGTGCGCCACTGTGGATTCCTACAACCAAACATCACGTCCAGATCCTGCAGCCCCTCACCGAACATCGTGTCAAGGTCTTCAACCAGTTTAGTTAATCAACTTAACTCATTTAGGACATCACCCCTTCAGCCTGACGATATCACGGTCAGCTTTGATGTGGTGCAAACGTCTCCCTCGCCGTCGCCTGCAAAATCACCAGAAACAGACTTCAACTCGCTCTTTTCACGCTCTGCCACGGGCGTGCAGAGCCTCATCTGGCAACTTTACACAATAAAAATAGCCGGTTCAGTGATCTGAACCCCGACACGGGTATCACTGAACCGGCTATATTTATTGTGTAAAGTTGCCAGATCGAGGCTCTGCATGCATGTCATGGCGGAAGTGTGAAAAGAGCGAACTGGACCCTTCAACTTCAAATGGACTTCATGTTCTGCTCCTCACTTGAGTTATCCTCATCCAGCTTCCGTTGGCAACAGTTGGCTGGAACCTCCAGCCCACCGTTGCCACTGTAACTGAGTATAGAAAACCCTTGTACACAATATCGGTTGTTAATATGAAATCGAGGAAACATACATTTTTTGTCAAAAGTTTTTTCCCACATAAAAGTTTGCACTTGCAGTGCTTGAATACTGTTTCTACAGTGAAGGCCCTTTGAACGCTATAGAGGTCTATTAACTCGATCAGTCTGAGTCAATTTTAAACATTGGGCATAGTTTGGGTTGAGAGAGTTGTACGTGCACTTAGTCGACTATTGTCCTTTGTCTTTGTCCCAGCCCTTACAAAAAGTCCCATGGCGAAGCCATGGGATCCCCATGGGACCCCATGGGAAACTCATGGGAATCATTAAAAGGATACACATGGTGGTCTCTTTAAACACCATGGCAATCTCTTACAACATGGTGTCCCATGGGAACACCATGGACAGCTAAAGAAACGCCATGGTGTCCCATGGTAACACCATGAGCAGCTACTGTAACCCCATGGCACCACCATGTGGTCTCATGGTGGTCTCTTTGAATACCATGGTGGTCTCTTAAAACACCATGGGATATCTTAAAACAGAATGGTGTCGCATGGGAACACCATGGACAGGTAAAGAAACGCCATGGTGCCCCATGGGAACACCATTAGCAGCTACTGTAAACCCATGGCACCACCATGTGGTCTCATGGTGGTCTCTTTAAATACCATGGTGGTCTTTTAAAACACCATGATGGCCAATCTGAACGCCATGTATAGTCACAGTAACGCCATTGTGTCACATGGGAACACCATAGACAGCTATTGTAAGGCACCGCCATGAGGTTTTAAAACCACTATGATAGCACCAATGAGGTCTAGCTGAAACACCACCATGACATGTTGGGTGACCACCATGGGGGCCATGGTGGCCAATGGCATCACCATGGGAATGCTGTTCTACTCAACGGATATATGCGCACATGGGGAAACACCATGGGGATAAACACCATGTGGATGAACACCATATGGAGATAAATCCATGGGGATAAACACCATGTGGATGAACACCATATGGAGATAAATCCATGGGGATGAACACCATGGGGATGAACACCATGGGGATAAACACCATGTGGATGAACATCATGGAGATGAACACCATGGGGATGAACACCATGGGGATGAACACCATGGGGATGAACACCATTGGGATGAACATCATGGTTATGAACAACATGGGAACACCATGGGGATGAACACCATGGGAACACCATGGGAACGCCATGAGACCTTTTTTTGAAGAAATGTGTCAATTATGAGTGTTCTTATTGCAATTTTTGAATTTTGCTATTAATAATTTAAGTCAAATGAAGAATGCAGTCTATTTTTATGTGGAGATTTGGCACATACAAATATTGTGGATAATTCTAATTCATTTATTATTATTGAAAACAACTTATTATCAAAAATAATTAGGTTACTGTGATTCTATGGTACAACTTTTAAAGTGGTATGGAAGCCGGATAAAACTTTTTTGTCAGAGGGTGCTTCGACACTCACCTCACTGCCGTACGTGGGCCAATCACCTTTGGAGTCCCATGATGGCCTTGATGTGTAAATAAGCCTTTTCGGAGTTCCAACTGCGCATTCGTAACCCGTGACATCGCGCATTTTTTTGTCCCAAATGGCCTTTGCCATCATCGCGCCACTGACTTTACAAAAAGGCTGTTTGTGCATTTTGGGTACTGTCAAAGGGCATTTGAGACAAATAATGTGCGTTGTCACAGGTCACGAATGCGCGCAGTTGGAACTCCGAAAAGGCTTATTGACACGGGGTAAATACATAAATGCAAATAATAAGATAAATATTCTGAAACCAGCCATTGGAAAAACCCCATGGTGATTTATCCATGGGAAAAGTCCCATCTGGTACATGGGGTTAGTGTAACACAAGTATTTGTTCATAGGTGGTGGTTGTGTACCAGTCCTAGAGTCTTGGTTACATGGAGGTATAGAATGATATGTCTCCTAGTAGCGCGTACACTGTAGCCGGAGCGGACAAAATCATTAAAGGGAATATACAACATTTGCAAACATCGAAAAATAAAACTACCAAGTTTTTGCGAAATACCTTAATAGGATGTTGATGAATGACAGTCTAAAGCATCCTGTAAAATTATGGCACCTGGTATTCTGTCATTTTCAAGAAAAGTGGTATTTTTGTATCAATTTCCAACGCTGATCGGCCGATCAGCGTTGGAAACAACTGGCTTTTTTTTCAAATACTGGCCCCAATTGACCATTGCACTTGTTTGCAATCGATTACAAACCTTTGAACGGGTACGAGCCAGCTAGACTGGTTCCCTGACCTTACAATTCCCCAATGTATGTAAACTGCTCTGTTTCTTCTTATATGGAGTCAGGGAACCAGACTACAGGAAAATGATCGTTTTTCTTGGTTTTTATAGCATTTTCGAACCCAAAACCTCCAAAAAGTCAGTGTAACTATATTTGTTTATATTTCCAACCCCCAATTCCATCCATTTCTGAAAATTAGAGCAAAAGCAAATGATGTATATTCCCTTTAAGTTGAAGACGGAGAAGAAACTTTCACTGAAGGAATAAAACTCATGACAAGGATTATAGGGTCAGGTGTGTTTATTGAGAGCACCGACTAAAATCGCTTGACAGAGAGAGAGACAGAGAAAGGAGAAAGTGGAAAGGGAAAGTGAGGACTAAGGGGGATAGGGGCTCATTAAATACAGGAATGGAACATAATGGATTGTGTGTAACTGTAAGTGAATTAAACCAAGGACGGTAAATACTAGGAATCTAGGATGTGGTTTTACAGGTCTACGACCGAGCCCAGTGTGACCACACAAATGGAGACAGGCATGGGCGTCGTGAGGGGGGGGGGCAAGGGGGGGCACTTGCCCCCCCCCCCCCCCCGGAAAAGCAACAACAACAAAAAAAGGAAGGAAAAAAAAAGAAAAGAAAGAAAAGAAACGACCTTGTTATAGCGAGAGTCAACTATATAATATGCTTGGTTTGCATAATCGATTCAAGCTTATTGTTAAATCGCTCCCAGCCGTTGCGCTTGGGCTTTTTGCTTAAAACTGTGAAGCATTCCATTCAGATGAAAGAAGGCGAGGTCATAACGTCCACAGACCGCTGAGTACGGAGCTTTGATACCGAAAGAGCACACTCTCAACTCACACAGAGGCGCAGTTAGTTACAAACATGGCGATCATTTGTAAAAGGTGGACCCTTCCAATCCTAGCTTCGGCAGTTTTCCTGCTAACAGTGATTGTCGTTGCTTATCACAGCGGCACTTACGGTAAGTACTCCTTCCAGCATGCTTCCAGCTAACCCCCGTTAACCCTAAGGGGCCGGGTTATTTTGACCATCTCTCAGCCGGGGGGGGGGGGGGGGGGGGGGCGGATTCTGCCCCCCCCCCCTAAGATCTCGGTCATCGAGTGACGAAACATTTTGAAACTCGGCACATGCATAGAGCAACTCTTCCTAAACATACCCAAGAAATTTCATGACTATAGGTCAAAGGGTTTTGGAATTATGGCTACTTAATTATTCATATGTACGAATGGCAATTCAGCTCTGTGTACACGACGTATATGCAAAAATTCAGTTTTCACGGCGCGTAGCGCCTGAACATTTTTCGCTACGCGGCAACCCGTGGTCCGATTTGTATGTTTTTGGTATCAAAAGATGCGCAAAGCTCGAGGCTAAAAAGTCACAACAGCTCGGGTCTCGAAAAAAAATTTTTTAGAGGCTATCACGGAAAATGTTAAGGGGGGGGGGGCGGATTCCGCCCCCCCCCCCGATCCCTTTAGGGTTAATACCAAGACTGAGATGCAGGGGTCCCACAAAAAGCAAGCTTGTCGAGTGCGAGTCCCCTGAACAACAAAAACAATAACACAATTAACAAGGTCAATAATAACAACAAAAAGGGACTCCGTATAAACATAGACAATACGAGAATGTAAATGACAGGGACAATGAGTATGAATTATTGGAAAGAAGCATTACAAAAATTAATTTAATTTAATTTAATTTAATATGGAAGTAAGCTAGGGCCATAATAGACAAAAAAAAATGCAAAATGGCGTTAAAGAAAATGGCAATGGAGAAAAAAATGGCATGCTTAAAGCAATAGTACATGCATAAAGAAATAAACTGAAAGACAAAGACGATGAACTGAAAGGTGAGTATTAACAGCAGTTTGTGTACGGGCATTAAAGAAAAATGGCAATAAAGAAAAAATGGCATGCTAAAAGCTGAATGATAATAAACTGAATGACAAGACGATGAATTTAACAGAATATTAAATAAAAATTTAAATAATCATATTAAGCCACATTTTTGTACAGGGCTCAAAATAGACCATGGCGTTATGCGAGAAAAATAGAAACAAATAAATTAAATTAATGATATGGCTTAAAGCATTAGGGCCTACTAGAAGCACAGGGTATTTTAATAAATAAATCAAAAGAAAGGATTTATACCAACAAGGGATAATAATAGGGCTCACGAGCATGAATATTTGTTGAAAATAAATTGTTCGATCTTAACTTTGAACGTAGAAATGGATGGCGATTTCTTAATAGATTTGGCAAGGGAATTCCAAAGTATAGGGCCTTCAAATTTAACACTTTTCTTTACATTGGATGTCCTTACTAAAGGCAAATGGAAGTCATTGGCCTGTCTAGTTAAATGGGTATGTAAAGTTCTGTTACTGTAAAACATCGATGAAATGGATTCTGGAAGATTATTTTTTGTTAGCTGAAACATAAAAATACCAAGTTGATAATAAAATAAATAATTTATTTTACTTATCCTATCTTGTTTAAAAAACGGATCTGTATGGGCAAGGTAGTTAGTATGATTAATAATTCGTACAGCTTGTGTTTGTTGTATCAATAATCGGTTAACTGATTTTTGAGAAGTGTTTCTTCACGGTAAAATTCCATAATTGATGTAAGACAAAATTAGAGTGTTGTACAGAGATAAGAGAATATATTTAGGGACATAGAACTTGATTCTATTGAGAACGCCGATATTTCTGGAAACAATTTTACATAGATAATCAATGTGATTATTCCAGGATAATTTGTTATCAATATATAAACCAAGAAATTTAGTACATTCGGTAACGGTAATCTTGTTTTTATCAATAAGAATATTTCTTGGTAATGATTGCAAAGAATTACTAAACAACATACAGTTTGTCTTTTTTATATTTAACGAGAGTTTGTTGGCTTTTACCCAGTCTGATATCAATACAAGCTCAGAATTTACGGGGGGGGGGGGGGGGGGGGGGGCCGCCCGCCCCCCATGAAACCTTGTCGCCCCCCCCCCCCCCAGTCGCCCCCCACTGAGATTTTGAGTTTCTAAAAAAATTATCATTGATCTACATGACGCCCCCCCCCCCCATGAAATGTTCCAGCCCCCCCTATGTTTTCTTTTTTCTTTTTCAAATTGAGAGCAATAGTAAGTCTTCTTAGCAGTGCGTAAAACTGTAGTTAGAATATTTGTGTATGTAGTATAATTGACATGGTTAGTTTCATTGCGTTTAGAAATAAATTTGTGATACAGCTTATTTTTTAGTTTGATTGATTTCAAAAGGGATGGAGTGATCCAAGGTAATTTGGGATCGGCCTTATTGTTCTTCTTGTTTTTACACGGAACATTTATATCATGATGATAATTAAATACATTTGTAAAATGATTAAAAGCTACGTTTGGGTCTTGAGAGTTAAGTACAGAAGACCAGTCGGCCGAGTTTAGATCTTGTGTTAGTTCATCTAAATTATCTTTAGTATAATAGCGATAGTTGGCTTTTCTATTGGCTTTTGGGGAAATATTGGCCATTGGTAGTGAGGTGATGATAGGAAAGTGGTCAGTAATATCCGAAGTTAAAATAACAGAGTCTGGTATCGGTAAAACGTTGGTGAATATATTGTCAATTAGAGTAGCTGGAGTTCGGGTTACCCTTGTGGGTTTATCTATGAGTGGAATAAATGAATGTGAAAACATAATGTCAATACAATTTTGAACTGAAGTATTATCTTCATAATTTAGAAGGTTAATATTAAGGTCTCCAGCAAGAATACTATGTTTATTTTCGGTAGAAATGCAGGTGATTGTATTCTCCAAATAATTCATGAAATCATTATATAAAACCTGTGGGATTTGTATAAAACCCCAATTATCATATTTTCGGATGATGTTTGTTTTAATTCAATAAACAGTGATTTCACTGAGTTGCTTGCATAATTCAGATCACGGCGTATATTATACTGAATATCATTTTCCACATAAAGGGCAACGCCGCCACCATTTTATCTGTATACCCCGGTAAAGAGAACCTCGTTGTAATGTCGTCTGTATGCCATGTCTCAGAGAGACCAATAACTGAAAATGTACTTAATGATTGAAGTAGTAGTTTAAAATTATCGAAGTTTTTGGGGAGGCTTCTTATATTAGAATGAATGAATTCTAGTTTCTGGCTGCCATCAATGTTTGAAAGGGGACTACAGAAATCATTTTCGGTGGAGTAGCGACAGTGATGGGTATCTGGTACAGGGTTTTCGGGGTCTATCGTATACATTTGTAAACTGAGGCAAATTAAAAAGTAAGGGGTCAGAGGCTGTATTCGCAGTAGTATCAGCATCATTGAGATTAGGGGCAAAATCATGAATTACGTCTTGAAATTCTGCATTGTCCAATGCATTAAATGGTAGGATGTTGGCTAAGCATGTATGCAGTGGCGGTTCTAGGGGGGGGGGGGGCTAGGGGACCTTAGCCCCCCCCCCAAAAAAAAAGTAAAATAAAAAAAGAAATAGTCGTGACAAGGGTGCATTTGTACTTTATATAGTGTGCCTGGTTTTAGGATTTTATCGGCACTCCCCATTGAAAATATGAAGTTATGCTTTTGTTGTTACGACGAAAGGATTCACAGACCATAAAAACAAGGATTGATAGAGAACTATTGCTTTTAGGAATGCTCGTGCATGGTTAACCCTTGACATGTTTTCAACATCTACACAGAGCTTTCATGCACTCCCACGAAAAAGTACATTCTCCTCTGGAACAAAAAACTAGTGGCCTTTCACAGGATATAGGTATCGTATCCGTGCAAGTTCATGATATGGAAAGTTGCCGTCAGGACAAAGCACTAAAGATTTGAAAAAAAATGATAGACTGAAAAACGCCCACACAGTGACCTTGTCTTATTTACTTATAATAGAAGTGGCATTACATCCTGATATCGCCGATATTAGGTTCTCCCGGTTATTTTAACACTTGTATTACACAAATTCCTTATTTCGATACTTTCATTTCGTCCCCGAAAATCGCCAAGCTCAATTCTCACTTTGAATTTCAAAAAGCCACCACTAGATTTCATTTAACGTTCAGCATAATTCAAACTCATACCGATTCGTCTTAAATTTGTGAAATTCGTCTGGTGTAGCAATCGGCGTTGAATTGAAAAAGCAAATTCGTTTTTTGTCATTCGTTTTAATGTTGCTGTCATTACATTTCTTCGACGGTGACTTGAAACGTTACAATTAAAAATGTGCCCAATCTTTGGACTTATTTGAAGAATTGTGCGCCCTAATCAAATTACAGTTTCAACATATATTTCCTTAAATGTATAAATAACAGTAGTTAGCTGTAAGTTTTCAATCTCCTTTTCTGTGATATCCAATTATAGGTTTTCCCGGTTATTATAACACTTGTACCACACAAATTCCTTATATCGATACTTTAATATCATCGCCAAGCTCAATTCTCAATATGAATTTCGGAAAGCCACCACTATATTTCATTTAAGGTTCAGTATAATTCAAATTTTTAGCATTCCGATTCGTCCTAAATTTGTGTAATTAGTCTTGTGTAGCATGTGGCGTTGAATTGAAAAAGCAAATTCGTTTTTTGCAAAACCTTTTAATGTTGTTGTCATTACATTTCGTTTCAGGTGACTTAAAACGCATACGATTGGAAAATGCGCCCAATCTTTAGACTTATTTGAAGAATTGTGCGCATTAAAACAATGATAATTTCGACATTATTTCCTTATTTGGGTTTGGGTCTTGAGAGTTAAGTACAGAAGACCAGTCCGCCGAGTTTAGATCTTGTGTTAGTTCATCTAAATTATCTTTAGTATAATAGCGATAGTTGGCTTTTCTATTGACCTTTTGGGAAATATTTGCCATTGGTAGTGAGGTGATGATAGGAAAATGGTCAGTAATATCCGAAGTTAAAATAACAGAGTCTGGTATCGGTAAAACGTTGGTGAATATATTGTCAATTAGA